GAGGTGATATTTGAACAGAAGCCTGAAGAGGTGAAGGACGGAGCCATGGGCTATCTGGGACAGCAAGTGCAAAGGTCATGAGGCAGGAATGCGCCTGAAACGTTCAAGAACAGCAAAGAGTCCAATGCAGCTGCAGTGGAGGGAGTGAGGGGAGAGCAGTGGGAGATGGGGTGGGAGAGGTGAGGGGAGCAGACACAGAAGGAACCTGCGGGGAGGTTAGAGCTCTCACTCTAAGTTGAGTCGGGCCCACCGGGAGACAGGAGCAGAGTTGTAAGCCATGATCTCACTTCTGGTTTAACAGGCTTACTATGTTTTGCTGGGCTGAGAACAGACTGAAAGGATGGAAGCAGGAAGTAGCAGGAGTATGAAGGTGTAGGGAGACCCGTTAGGAAGGTATGGAAATTGTTACGGTTGGAGATGATGAAGGTTTGGATTGGCGTGGCAGAAGTGATCAGATTCTGGATATATTCTGACGGTATGGTCAAGAATAAATATACTTTATTGCTTAAGTAAATAAAATAACCATAAAATTGGAGAAATCTGTTTAATTTTTAGAAGCGCAAAATCCCGTATTATAGGACTGAGATTATCTGCAGTGGGGTCAAAGGTCAGTGGAGACACAGTCCAAGAATTACCACAGGAACAGTATGGAGGGAATAATAACAAGAAGCTACAAACTTGTAGGAATTAGGGCGAATGATGGGGAGTGAGGTAGTAAGTGACCAACAAGGAAGGAAAGTGAGTGACATAATCTGACACGACCTTCAAAGCTGGGTGTTTTCAGAGGATGGTGGGAGAATGGTCTGGAAGTGACAATGAAGAGGACCCACACTTCCAGCCCATCTGGTATGAGGGTAATGAGAGAAAACAGCCAGGACTTGAGAGCTACAAGGGAAGCAGCATCCTCGGATGAGCTTAATCTGTGTTCATGTTCCCAATAACCCAGATGTCTAATAATGGAATGATTAAATAAATTATAGTATGTCCGACAATCATGTAACTGTTAATAAAGAAAAAAAACCCAGACAGACTTTCATGTCTAACATGGAAAGAAAACCATACCATAATTGTTCAGTTAAAAAAAGGTGCAGAACAGTATATATAGCAGGATCCTATTTTAAAAACACAAATAGAGACAAAACCTGTACATGGATAATATATGTGCCTCTTTAAAGGCCTGGAAGGAAATAAACAACCCTGAACAAGTGGTCATCTTCAGGAGTGAGCTGGGGGGAGGGGAGTGCAAGCAAGCAGACCATTTTTACCTATAACCAACTACTGTTTTCAATTTTGAAACCCCAATAATAAAAATAAATAAAAACTGAAAGTAAGAGATTTATTCTACATGGCTCCAGAAGACGGTATTATGACCAAGACGTGGCAAGATTTATCTTTTTATAAAGGAAAAAATAATGGGAAGTGTTTCTGTATAGAATGGAATACCACTGTATTAGAACTTCTAGAAATTTATTCCTGTGTACAGGGTTAGAATATATGGCCTAATTCCGGGTGAACACGATATAGGTGGGAATGTACTTTTTTATTAAGCAATTCAGCCACATGATCAAAAATTTAATTTTACAAAATGGCATATCATAACAAAAAGTAAGTTTCCTGCCCATTCTAGTTCCTTCGTCCCCTTTCCATTAACAGTTCAAATATGCTTCAAATTTTTCAATGCATGAATTTCTTACCAAAAAAAGTTCTGTATTACTCAAATATCTCAAGAGCAATTTGTTCCTGTCCCTTTTCCAGTATATAAATCTGTTACTCAGAAGAATAAAATAACTTCTAAAAATCAAAGTTTACATAACCACTGAAACAAACATTGAGATCAGCCAGATTTCACTCTCCTCCACATGACAATCAATGACATCCTGTTTTCAATCTGCCAAAAACTGGACTGGACTTACAAATATTCGCTTGGCCACCTCAGAGGAGACTAAACAAAGAGCAGCAGCCCCCTTCCAGAACAGCAAGAGCGAAAAGAAGCCAAGTGCAACGTCTGTCACTGGGTTATACGCTGTGGATATGAGCAAGCATCATCACCTATAGAATTAGGTGAGACGTGCGCCATAAATCTAGACCATTTCTGCTCAGATGCACTCCTGTCCATTAACGTCCCCACAGTGACTGACTGACAGTCAGAATGGAAAAACCTAAGAGAGTGCTCCGAGAAGACTTCAGAACCCAAGTTCTCCTCCTTTATACGTTCAACTACTAAGAGACCATTAGTCTCCATTAACTCACTACTTAACTGAACAATCCTTTAAGCAATGCTGAAATTACCACGAACGTGAAGGTGCAGTCGAAAGACAATGAATCTGATACAGCTCCCACCACCACCAAGCTTACAGTCATGAAGTGTGTGGGGGAGGAACAGGAGAACCATATTACAAGTTTGGCTGTCATAAGAGTTGAACCATCCGTTCAGGCTGTTTTTCTGAGGAACATATGTGCAGGGAGAGTGGCCAACAATCTGTGCCATTTTCTTTGCCCCAATTACATCTCCTGTGCATCCTGGGCTTTGTGTTACCCACTGTGCGATAGAAACCAAACGAGCTCAACTGACTATCCACCAGTTGCATCAACGGGTATGAACAATGGCATGGATAATCCAAAGCAGCCTTAATAAAAATTAACCATTGCTTTTGGAATGTGTTATGCTTTATCAAAGAAAGCTTTTAATTTCTTATCATGTTTTGGTTACAGTAATAATAAAACAATTATATACCCTGGAGAATATAGTAAATTCTAAAGAAATGCCTGTTCAAGACTCAAATGTGGCTGTGGAAAGTCTGTAAGTGGATGACAGAGAATTAACTACCATGGTTTTATTACATTACAAAAACTTACAAACATTTTATCATATAAATCACTCTTTCTTCTCAAAATTCATACACCATGCTGGCCCCTCCATCAATTTTCAACACAGCTCAAGTATTCAGAAAGAATTAAAAAATCATTCTCAGGGCCAGCCCCGTGGTCAACTGGTTAAGTTCACGCACTCTGCTTCGGCAGCCCAGGGTTTCACTGGTTTGGATCCTGGGCACGGACATGGCACCGCTCCTCAAGCCATGCTGAGGCGGTGTCCCACTTGGCATAGCCAGATGCACTCACAACTAGAATATACAACTATGTAATGGGGGGCTTTGGGGAAAAGAAGAAGAAAAGAAGATTGGCAACAGATGCTAGTTCAGGTGCCAATCTTTAAAAAAAAAAAAAAAGAAGTCATTCTCACATCACCAACATCACCACCATAATGAAGCATGAAACATGGTTCTGAGCACTTACCTATTAGCTCTCTTAATCCTTATGAAAACCCTATAAAGATCATTTTGGAGATGATGAAACTGAGGGGTAGAAAGGTCAAGGAGCTTGCCAAGCTAACCCTTCTACCCTGCTGCTCCTATGTACCTCCTCCTCTGCCTCATGCATAAAGTGGAGGGACTGACAAGCAAAGATTTGCTTAGTCTTATTTTAATCCCTCCAACTCCTTCCCTTCCCAGCTTATTTTTGTTTTCATTGTTGATTTCCTTCTCGATATCTTCCCACTTTCTTAGAACATGGAAAAACCAGAGTTTTATTACGGCAGCAATGACAAAATTAAGTTCATTTTAATCTAAAGAGCCTAGAATGGGATAAGAAGTTATAAGGTGTAACTCAGCAAGACATAATGAAATGGGCACCATTACTTCACACCCACAGCTCATGTATATGGTCAATTCAACATACTTTTCCTATAATGAGTCTTGGAACATTAAAATTAAACCCCTTTAAGAAATTCATTTTCTTTACAGTCCCACTGATTATTCTTAGGGTCCTTTACTGAAAACATAAACAAAATGGAACAAAAATTACTGGCTCAGTTTTTTCTTGAGGTCATACATCTCCATTAAAGCAAATGTAGAAACGGAGAAAATTTAACCAGAGGACGCTTTCAAGCATCATATTTTATTATGGGTAAAATATTAAAATATTCATTTTAATGGCTCATACACAGCTGGCAGCCACAATGCTCTCTATAGATAAAGGCAAAAAATAGTACTCTCAACTGTAGAGGGTTTGAGTGAGGGGATGGTAAAGCAAACCGTGTACTGGTGTGGCAGAAGCAACAGTCGACAACACTACCGCTTCAGTGTCCTATCTGCCTCCCGATCCCCTTTGCTTCCTCTATTCCAGGGTTTCTCAGCCTTAGCATGCAGGATATTTAGCAGCATCCCTGGCCTCTTCCCACTAGCTGCTGGTCAAAACACTCCTGCCTTCCCCTCAGTGGTGACATCCAGAAATTTCTCCAGACATTGCTCAATGAGCAACTGCTCCACCCCACCACACTTTCCCTCTGCTTTTCTCCTCGTGATCTAACCGCCTCAGGTCTCAACGGTCTTATCTAGCTCCACTTCTAGATCTAGGACAAAGGAATTGCTGACTCCTTCACGAAGGGAAAAGGGAAAGATGTCAAACACACATACCCTTTCTTCCTATCTTTTTTCTCCTCAAAGAAAAAAAGGGGGAGCAAAAAGTTAATCCTCAGAATTAACTGGCACATCTGGAGCCCTTACAACAGGTATCACACGGCACCAAGTGTTACTGGGTATAAAAGCCAGTTCGTAACCATAAGGAATCTACAACACGCCACAGGTCATGTTTCCTGACATGTTTTAAAAAACAGCAAAATGAGGGGCTGGCCCCGTGGCCGAGTGGTTAAGTTCGCGCGCTCCGCTGCAGGTGGCCCAGTGTTTCGTTGTTCGAATCCTGGGCGCGGACATGGCACTGCTCATCAAACCACGCTGAGGCAGCATCCCACATGCCACAACTAGAAGGACCCACAACGAAGAATATACAACTATGTACCGGGGGCTTTGGGGAGAAAAAGGAAAAAATAAAAAATCTTAAAAAACAAAAAACAAAAAAACCCAGCAAAATGAAAAACTTCACTCATCAAGCACCTACTGTGCATCAAGCCAATAGTTCTTAACACTGCTATACATTAGACTTACCTGAGGTACTTTTTTAAAGCTCCCCATCGTGACGCCTGAACAGGATCCCCCTGGGGGGCAGACCCAGGCATTTCTGTGGTGGTCGTTATTCATGTAATTCTGATAGGCAGACAAGGTGAGAACCGCTGTGCTAACACAAAGATCGTAAGGACACTGTCCACACCCCTCAAGGAACTCACTCTAAAGAATAAGATAACTAACTCTAACAAAAGCTATTAAAACAGAAGCTGGACTAGACAAGCAGGTTTGTACTGGTCCTCAAAGTTACAAGATCCTCAGTGCAAGTCCTACATTTATGACCCCTTAACCCAACTTTATCAAGCTGTGTAAGAGATACACGACGAACAGAAATATACATATAAATAGAGACACTCAAAAACTTCCTAAAGAATCCACGAAGGTAGAGGCGGGCAGGAAGCAAGAGCTCTACCAACTGCATCAGATTTCCTTCCTAATCCCTTGACTTTTAAAGATTACCCCAATTCTAAGAGAAACACCTTCAAACTAAGATGCTATAACATGAATAACAATGGCTTGTTATTTAACTTTTCATGTTATGGTAGCCTCCCCTTACCAGTAAGATTGCTTCTTCAGGGCAGAAACTGACGGATCCGTTTCCGTATCCCTCCCCAAACACAGCCCAGGGCTGAACACACAGTAGGAATGGACGAAATACTTGCTGAATTGACACCAGCGTAACAAAAAGCAGAACCCCACGGTGAGGGTGCATCTCTTTTAAAGCAGGCTTTCCTGGAATACAGATCAACATCTCAGCCTGCACAATTTGACAAGACAAAACTCTTCAGTGTTTAAATGCATATAAATGCTATAAATAGAGCTTGGGTGCCAATCATTTAAATAGTGCTCAAGTTAATTTTGTTCAGCTAACAGAAAAACATTTAAAACCCATCAAACATTCCCTCAAGCTTGAACAAACTAAATGGAAGTCCCGAGCACACAAATGTGAACACTGGGAAATAAAAGAGGTTGTTATTAATTATGCCAGACTGCACAGCCAGGAACAGGCAAAAAGCAAAACAGGAAGCTGTAACAGACGAGATGGAAGTATGTACAATCAGCCGTCCTGAGCCTTCATAGGGCTAAATGGATAGTTTCTAAAGCAACAGTCAGTGCATCATTATTCCCTTTCCTGAAAAGCTACTCTCCTTGATAAAACGAAGACCCATTTTCCCAGTCTTCACCCTCCGTCTCCAACACAGCTGCAAGAGTTAGAGGGACAGGTCTGCCCAGCGTGTACAGCTCAGGGCCCTCTGCCCATCACTGTCACTCAACAAGGACTTAAGAATGGGGAGGGATGGTGACAGGCCACGTGGTGAGCCCGCAGGTGAGATTTAAAAGACTTTTCTTTTTCCCCCAACTTTGAAATATCTGCAGATCATTTAAAAGAAATGAGATGGTGAGGCAGAAGATGTGGACAAATTCTATGCTGTCTAGTGGGTACGTAAGAACTCACTTAATGCTAAGGTGGCATCAGAGAGGTAAGGATGCCACCAATAACCAGAGATTGTTCCCTCACAGGCAGCATATGAAAAGCATTTTTTTTTTTTACATCCATGACCCTGTTATCCTTAGAGAAATCCGGGAAATTAAATGTTGATGCCTGTAATTTTTTTTCACTTTATAAGAGGTTTTACTACATGGGAGACTTTTCTCACTTTGATACCTTATAAACTAGTCCACCTCAACAATCAAAACCATATTCCAAGACCATCACTGTCTCATACGAATAAGGTAAATGCCGCTATAGATAAAATCTAATACTGCAACTCAAGTAGGAAAGAAAGAGGCCCATCTCGATGTGCTCTATGAAGCGTTGGTGACTTTAAGGTTCACTGATCACACCAGCTGATTGAGAAATGGCAGATAACTGATAGCCCCTAAAGGGCTGAGGACACCTCACATCCTAATGAGGAGACTCCTAGTCCAAAATCATGTCAGGCAGGGTAATAGGTTAATATAAAGGAAGCGGGATGGAGAAGGCCTGCCTCTCGTAACTCCAGCTTGTATTTATCGTGTGCCTCTTCTAACTCCAGCTTCTCTTACAAGGCAGGAACAGTCGAATCAATGAGAAAAGCTCAGTTTCCCCAGACTGGTCCTCCTGGGACACAGAGTAATACAATAAAGTAATAAAGAAGGCTTCACGCCCATTCCAGTGAAGAGCCTGATCCAGGACACAGCAGAACATGTTACTTTTATTAGTAGTTTGCATTTCATTTGCCTGTTCATGGCCTTTACTGATTTTTCTATAGGGGTGGCGTTTCCTATTGATTTTAAAAGCTCCTTACAAAAAGCAGTAAGTTACTACAAATTTGTTGCCTGAAAGGTTGTCTTTGTGACTGTGTGTTTGGTCAGAGAAATGCTGTCAAATCTATAAATTTTTCCTTTATGGTTTCTGCCTTTGGAGCAACGTTTAGAAAGGCTCTACAGCTGCTATTAACACCCCCATCTCTTGAGATGATGCAAATCCATCTTCCCTTCCCTCTGACCAGTGACAAGAACCCATGCCAGAATCTTTCTGCACTGAGCATGTGTTACTATAATGAAAAAATATCTTAACACTGATGAATGCTATAGGAAAAGCCATAGAGAAATTGAGAATACTTACTTTTATTAGCTCTGAGCAACTTAACTTTTTAAAATCATTAAAGGGCATTCTTCTCTTAGTTCAACTTCTATCCTTTTCTTAAAAACCTTTACCTAGAATTGTCAGGGAAATGCTCCATCTACAAACTCCCAAACTTGAGATTTCACAATTTCATTACGGGGATTCCCACCGCTTTACTCTGCTCAACTCATTCAGTCCATGACAGTCCTTATAGCCTGTTTTGACCCCTTATCTAGATTGGATTTGCTACTGCTCTCATTAACATTCTAGACTCTAAAATCACACTGGTGTTTATATAAATAGCCAACATTTTCTGAATGCTTCTTATACGCCAGGTCCTATGCTAAGTCCTTTATGTATTCTGTACTTCACCAACTTAAGACGCACCCCCTTGCCCCAATTCTAACGCCTGAAACCAGGAAATTAATAACCAGTGGTCTGTCATGTCTAACTAACAGTTGTTTCCTCAGTAGTACATGAAATAATGTCTTACAATCAGCAGCGTCTTAGATTAGATGAAACATGGACGTATAACTCATTTCATCTCACTAGCAATCCTGAGGCGGAGACTATTATCTTTATTTTTCAGATGAGGAAAGTGAGGTACAAAAGTTAACTGTAGCTCTCCTCAAGGTACAAACGGCGAGGTTTCGGGGCCTGGACCTAAACCTGGGCAACCTGACTCGAGAGCTTCATTTCTTCATGGATTTGCTATCCCTAGGCCAGAATCATCTCTTACCAACATTTCTCCCCAATCTTACTATCAAGCCACCAAGTTATTCTAGAAAGCCACAACTGCCTCGTCTGCTCCACAGCCACATCAGACTTCACCCCAGGCTTCCCCGCTGCTGTTTAGACTTTGAATTCTCCATAGATTTCCTGGCACATTAACTACAACAGTTCTTCCAAAACCTCTTCATTATTCCTAAACTTCCAATGCCATCTGCTGATTCCCTCATCTCACCACACCAATGAAGGGCCTGGCCTCTGACACGACTGGTAAAATCCACACAAGCCGGCACGAGCTCTGCCATCTGGTTTCCTCTCTAACCTGGACCCCATTCAGCTGCTTTCTCGGACAACTCTCCCTCCTTACCATGGCTACTATTTTGTCCCCTGTGCTCCAGATCATTAACTCTTCGTCTTTAATTGCTCCTGTCCATTGACTTCTTTCTCTCAACCTTTAAAGAGGAAGAGGTCTCATCTATTTTGAAACGTAAGTCACTCAAGGGCATTTAAGAATCTATTTCTCGGGGCCAGCCCCACGGCTAAGTGGTTAAGTTCAGGCGCTCCACTTCAGCGGCCCAGGGTTTCGTTGGTTCGGATCCCAGACGCAGACACAGCACTGCTCGTCAGGCCACGCTGAGGTAGCGTCCCACATAGCACAGCCAGAAGAACCTACAACTAGGATATACAACTATATACTGCAGGGCTTTGGGTAGAAGAAGAACAAAAAAAGAAGATTGGCAACAGATGTTAGCTCAGGTGACAATCTTTAAGGAAAAAAGATTTTTCATTTCTTAATAGACTGTCTCTCTTCACTCAACCGTATTCACCTGATTACCTCAACCTTTTCTCCTTCACCCTGAACAATACATCTCCCTCTCTGAACCTACTCCGGAATCTCTCTTCCCTTGGCTTCCTGGTTAAAGTGACCCTCTGACCCCTCACCTTTCTTCCAGTTCCTTCGTCTACTTCAAAGGCATCTCCCTTCTCCTAATGCCTAATTGTGGGCTTTAATGGAAGATTCGACCCACCAGCTCTTTGTTTCTCTGTTCATGATGCTCTCAGCCTACCCATCTGCTCTTGGAAGTCTACCCATCATTTCTAGGAGATCACTGCTGGGGATCCTCATGTAAAGCTCTGAGCGCTTCCCCAAGCTGCAGCTTCGTTATGTATCTCCAACTTGCCTGTAGAATACTTAGACGCCCCAACTTAAATCCAACCTGTCAACTCTAATTTATCATTCACACAATCTTTATTCCTTCTACAACCAGTTCTTCCCTATTCTTAAGTAAGGGCTCTACTAATTTTCCAGCCACTCAGGTTGGAAACTTAAGAATAATCTCTGACACCTCTCTCTTCCATTGCTCTACAGCCAAATAACCATCTTGTGTTTTTTTGCTCTCAAACCCATCTCATCAGATAGATAACTCAAATTGCTTTCTTACGAATCTCCTGGTATACAGGCTCTGCCCTCTACAATCCAAAAAACCGTATGTTTAAACACCTTCAGTGACTTCCCAATGCTTCCTTATTCTGGCACTCTGAGGTCCCCAAACTCCCACTGAGTGTAACCTTTATGACCATCTCTCCCACCTCACCATACTGGGCCCCATCAGGAATCCCCACTGTGGTCAGGCAACGCTGCTAACCAGCCTCTAGATCTGTGCTCTCCAACATGATAGCTACAGTGGCTATTTAAACATAAATTAATTAAAATTAAAAATGCATGGGGCTGGCCTGGTGGTGCAGTGATTAAGTTAGTGCACTCCACTTCCACGGCCCAGTGTTCACAAGTTTGGATCCCAGGCATGGACCTAGCACCACTCATCAAGCCGTGCTTCGGCGGTGTCCCACATAAAATAGAGGAAGACTGGCACAGATCTGAGCTCAGTGATAATCTTCCTCAAGCAAAAAAAGGAAAACTGGCCACAGATTTTAGCTTAGGGCCAATCTTCCTTACCAAAGGGAAAAAAAAAGTTCTCTTCAGTTGCACTAGCCACACTTCAGATGCTCAACAGTCACTTGTGGCTAGGGCCTACAGTACTGGACAGCGTAGATACAGAACATTTCCGTCACTGCAGACAGTTCTATTGGACAGCGCTTCTCTAGAGATCCTCAACACTCATGCCTACCTCCTGAGTCTCCCACGCCATGATTCTGCCCAGAATGTCTCTCCCTTCTACCTACCAAACCCACATGTCCTTCTACACCAATGTGGTCCTCATGTGAGCTGTCTGTACAAGCGACTTTCACACTACCTTGCAAGAACTCTTGTAATACTGTTGCATTTTTCATTTTTGTGTGTCTTCTAATTACTGAGCCACTCAGAATAAACGGTCACTGAATAAGTGGAGCATATACTCACTACAATACTGTATCAAAATTATCAAATAAGGGATATGTAACACCCCTCCTCCATTAAAAAGACACGTTTTCTTTCAATAACAAACAAAAGATCCTGCATTTAGCTAACTAAATAATGACTTAATTTAATGCCTAATTATAATGCTTGAAAGATAATTAGTTCCCTTTTTTTTCCTGTGGTGTTTGAAACTGAAAGAAAAATCTATGAAGGTCTGAAATACTTCCACTTTGCAAAAGCACACCACAAAGAAACCACAAAAGATAGACAAGGAGAGGAAAATGAATCAACAGTTTGTGTAACTATACCCTATCTGAATTGTAGGAAAAAAATATCTATAGTACAGCTACCCTAACATTAAGCAGAAACTACAAATAAAGCATTAAAATATTACGTGTATAAATACATTTTTGATTCAAAAGCTAGACCTTTTTTTCTTCCTCTTTGCAAACATCATGTAGCGAATATTTAATTCTGAGCTCAAAAGCATGTACAAGCATAATTAACTGTGTGTATGTGTCCCTTTAAATTCAGGCTTGTGGTCTCAAGAAAATTACGAAACCAATCCACCACACCACAGACCTGGGTTCTTACAAGAGAACAAGACTCCTTATCTGAACACTAGGAACCGAGCAGAGAAGAAATTTGGGAGAATCGCCAGGTAAGGATTCGTCAAACCTTGGAGGTTTTAATGCATTACAGTCAACAGGGAGTCTGCCCTGAAGTTCTGATTTCAGCTTATAACAAAAATTACAAAGATGATAAACTGCTCAAATACTGCGGTTCCCAGTGCCTTCCAAAAAATCTGAAGTAGCCACTGGAGTTGAACTGTTTATGAAAGTCTGGCTTTTCCCATCTGAAACATAGCTTCCCTTATGCAAATGAATGTTCTACAGAACCTGCTCATTTCTGCAAGTCAGCCAGCAACAGCTGTAAATGTGACTTTTTGGCCTAGCGGACTAGTTGCACATCTCTAAAACTGACACCATCTCAATGATGAACACCAAAAGGAGGATTTTAATTTAGAGTTTGAGTAAGTACATTCATGCTACTTAGCTTAGCTATTTTTTTTTTAAAGAAAGTTAATCTAGAAGAGGTGTTAAAAATACTTCAGGTATTTTTGCAGCAAATCAGATGACAGATCACCAGATTAGACTGAATAGTTGTACTACTAGGTAATAGCAGAAAAGGAACATAAAGAGTCAAGAGATTTCAATTTGGGGCAAAATGGAGATGCCTCGATTTGTTATCAAAGCAGGCCCTCCTCATCTTGGTACCAAAAACTAACACCAGAGCTTCCAGGTTGGAAGCTGGAGGTGCTGCGCCCGGGAAGAGTGTGGAAGCTCTGAACCTCTTCCCTACACCTTGTCTTATGTCGTTCTTCCATCTGGCTGTTCCTGAGTTGTATTCTTTATAATAAACTGGTAACAGTAAGTTTAAAAAAGAAAGAAACCACACGTAGAGGTACAATTACAGAGAACACTTCATCAGCCTC